ATACTTCGATTTTTTGGATGTTTATCTTTCCATTGATTGTTTTTCGCCTCTAGTTTTGCTCCATTTACGAGAACCGGTTTCCTGAATTCAGCACAAGAATTAAGCAAAAAACTATCTCCTTTTTTTGAGTGAAACAAGAGCAGCGAAAAGGCTCGCGCTTGGAAATCAATCTTTACTAGGTCGCTATCAGAGTTTATGGAAATCCGAACTACACTGATTTTTTGCTTATTTCTCGTGCTATTTTTCAGCTGGATCTGATTGGCCTTGTCATTTAGCAATGCCTGCCGCTATCGTTTTATGCACATCCCTTCTAGGCTCAATTGCTTGAATATTAACAGTTACTTAGAGAGCCAACCCAATATACCTAGTTAGTGAGAACTAAACAAGCAGATTCCGTTATGACGGTTTTCGGTTGACAGTTTGACTGTGGATTGAACAGTAACAGAAGCTTCTTAAGAGAATAATTAAAGACTTTAAAAGAGTTAAAAATTTGCTATCAGTCATCCTAACCTTTTTCTAATGCCTTGCCTAAGGGCAGGACTTTCGCTTGGGTTGGATCTAATGTAGCCTCTCTTAATAGCTAGGAAATAATGTCCTGACTATCGACATGAGTCATCGCCGTTGTCTTTTCATTATGAGCTGTCCGCTTATCTGCTTCAAGATAGTGTAATATCGACCTTAATCGCAGGGTGAGTAAAAATTTGGCCACTCGTATTTGTGGAATTTCTTGTATTTTAGGTTTGTTTACACAACTCTCTCAGATTGAGCACTTGACACTTATACACGAGTTTTTTTTAACGAACATTCGTAGAGTTCGCATTCTTTTTCTACATCTCTACACCTCGTTGAAAATTTTCAAATTCAGGAAGTAGCCACAGCAGTGAAGCATGGAACAAAAAACAAGAGGCTTGCGCTTCATGCACTTGGTAGGAAGAAGCAATTTGAGAAACAGCTGAACCATATCGATGGAGTCCTACAAACTATCGAATTTCAGGTTTGCTTCGGCTTTCTACACGGTTACTTAAAACGACAATATTCGTTGCTCCCTGTTTGTACAATTTTCAATTATACATATGTATTATGAGATTCCCTCAAGCTTAGATGTTTTTACTGCCAACATCATCAAATTCAACTTTATTTCTATTTTTTCCGTAATCAAACTCTTCATGATTCTTGTTACAGAGGGAAGCTCTTGAAAATGCTTCTACTAATGCAGAAGTGCTTCAAGTTATGGGTGGTGCCAGCAAAGCGTTGAAAGCTGCGCATAACAATATGGACATCGATCAGGTACGATCACTTATCTATCTTTATCTTCACAGAAGTATGCCTTGCTGAATTAAGGTGCATGATCTTATGGAAGACATCGCTGAGCAGCAGGAGGTTGCTAACGAAATCGCAGAGGCTATTTCAAATCCTGTAGGATTTGACAGGGCTATTGATGACGACGAACTGTTGAGAGAGTTAGAGCAGCTTGAACAGGTAATTTTGTTGAGACTGACTATTCTCTGCCAGAAATGTCAAGTGGAAATTTTGACATTTGCTTTTGGCAGCATACTTGTAAAGTTTCGCTATATTTTTGCTATCACAGGAGGAATTAGACAAACAGTTGCTGGATGTGCATCCAACTCCCGTAGTGCTGCCTGATGCACCATCGACAGATCTACCAACGGCCAGCAAAGCAAAGCCAGCCAAAGCTGATCACGACAAAGACCTTGAAGATCTTGAAATGTGGGCAAATGCATAAAAAGGCAATGTGTAAAAGTATTATGTCGTAAACTAAGTTCTTTTGCTTATATCGACCTAGTTTTCTTCCGCATCTTGAGACATCCTGCAATTTGCCGCGTTCCCCGGTCTGCTTCCTCTGTTCGTTTCATACTCAGCTCATGTATTTTCTAGTTTAGTCACCTTCGGGCACTTCGTTGTACATTTCCCTTCCTTTTATCCAATTTTTTTCTCTCTCTGATCTGTTTCCGAACAGCTCACTTTTTAACGTCCATGTTTTTCTAGCCAAGCCCAATCATTAAGGGCCTCTACGCCAGTTTTTTTTCCAATTCTAACTGGCAAGCATGTGTAGAAGTGTTTTTGACTTGAATTTTGCACTCCAACTTTAATTTCACAGAACAATTCATTCAATAAGTTTACGTTTAATTCAGTGTTCATAAACAATA